CAATTCGTTCGCATTCAAGAAGCACCCGAAATTCTCATCAATTTGTCGACGAGTTCAATTGGAGCGAAATCGTCATGATTTTAGCAGTCTGCCGGCCAAATTTCATTCCCCTGTCTTGGCCGCTACTACAGAAGACGAACTGATCATGAGTTTTAGCCTAATATTTAAAACTGGTGCCTGGAGCAACCCCCCGCAAGCGGACCCGGCACATCTGGTAAGAGCGCCCTTGTCACCGCCAGCTAGAGACCGCCTGTCCTTGAACTATCGTGACTTGAATTTGTTGGTGTATTTCCCCCTTTCACACTCCTGTCGACCTAGCGATTGCACCATATTCCATCCCTTTTCCACGGGTTCCACACACATGTCTCGAGAACATGGAACAGAACATTTTCTTCATCTGCTCTGCACTGGATTATTGGCTGGATGAACTCGTTTTCCCCCCCGTGTTTAATAATGCTATTTTGATATTTTTGCGGCCCTATTTACATGGGACATTGTACGATTTGCGACCTCGCTTCGTAACCTTGTCCGTAGCACAGCGGATGATGCATGATCATCGTGATCCTGGTCGCCTTCTATCTGCCGACGGATTTAATGCATGGAACTTAAAATACAGTGACCCGGAGCAATCTGCCCGTCCCTGGTACAGCAACGTAGTGACCATCCAGGCGGTATTCAGCTATCGAAATGCGCGTTTCCGACCTATCCAAGCGACTGTCATGGTAACAGTCAACCTCTTGTCCATCCAATGCAAGCTTCTGAACTGGTGTACTACCGGTTTCGATGCATTTACGCATTGGCATACTCCTTGTTGAAAGCACGTCCAATGACCATCCGTCTAATTTCAGAAGTTCCGGCACCAATCTCGTACAATTTCGCACTGCCAATCAAAATGCGTTAGTCAGAAGTAAATTACCTCGCCCTTCCATTTTCAGAGGTTTGAAAGCCTCGTAATGTATGGCAAGAGGGGTCCTAGATGGGAACACTGGGGAGCATTGAAAACAAACAAAAAGGTCAAGCTTACTCTCGCAGTAATCTCGAGGCAGGCATCTCCTCAACATAGCCCATACCACCCAGCAACTGAATACAGTCAAGTGCGCACTCAGTGGCACGCTCAGCCGCGTACAAAATGGCGCCAGCACAGTCCTGGGTACGGATAACGCCCTGCTCATCAACCTGCTTGGCCGTGGCGTACGTATAGGCCCGCGCCGCCTGCAACTTGGTGTACATGTCGGCAAGCTTGCCCTGGACCAGCTGGTTGTGAGCGATCGGGGAACCAAACTGCTTGCGCTGGTGGGAGAAGGGCAGGGCAACGTCCAGCGCCGCCTGCATGATGCCCAGGGGCCCGGCCGAGAGCACCAGGCGCTCCAGGTCGAGGCCCTCCATGAGGACGCGCACGCCACCGTTGACGCTGCCCACGACATTCTCCTCGGGGACGAAGACGTTGTCGAACATGAGCTCGCCCGTGTTGCTGCCGCGCATGCCCATCTTGTCCAGCTTCCGGGCGCAGCTGAATCCGTCCGTCTTGGTCTCGACCAGGAAGGCCGTGATGCCCTTGGAGCCCTTGTCGGGCTCCGTTTTGGCGTAGACAACAATCAAGTCGGCGTCGGGCCCGTTAGTTATCCACATCTTGGAGCCGTTGAGGAGATGGCCGCCGTCGACCTTCTTGGCCGACGTGCGCATGCTCACGACGTCGCTGCCGGAGCCAGACTCGGACATGGCCAGCGCGCCAATCTTGGTGCCGGCAATCAGGCCCGGGAGGTACTTCTTCTTCTGCTCCGGGCTGCCATTGAGCTGCAGCTGGTTCACGCAGAGCTGCGAATGCGCCGCGTAGCTCAGCCCAATGGACCCTGACGCGCGGGATATTTCCTCCATGACAACGGCGTGAGCCTGGTAGCCCATGCCCAGCCCGCCAACGTCCTCGTCGGCCGTGATGCCCAGGAACCCGGCCTCGCCGAGCTTCGGCCACATCTCGTTGGGGAAAGCATTGCTCTTGTCTGTGTGCGCGGCGACCTCTTCTGTGATTTCGCGGCGCGTGAACTCCTGCACACGCTCGCGCAGCTCATCTAGATCCTCGCTCGTAGGCGCCTCAAAGCCCTTGGGATGCTTGGACGAGTGTAGTCTTGTCTGGACGGTAGAGAGGGTGATTGATGCGGCTGAGGGTCGTAGTCGCCGGGCGGCGGGTTGAGAGACTGCTCTGGTGAGCGATCTGAAGCTCGCTGCCATGTTGTTGTATGTGATTTTGTAAAGGCGTCGAAATGAGAGGGTGGAGGCAAAAAGTCGAGTGTCCCGGATCAATTCCCAGGCAAGCAGCAGAAAAAGAAATAAGAAGTGCGGCACTGGCTCGAGTCCAGAAAAGAAGTCCGAGTTTAAAGTAAAGCCGAGGGTCTGGATGGATGCGGCCATCCAAGGCTCATAGCCATAAGCCTGCGGCCTACTTCGGCTTGCTGCGGCCCGTCAACCCCAGATTTTGGCTCCTGCCCCCACGATGTCAAGTTTGCCGGCTTTGCGGACAAGCTTGCTCCCGAATGCTACGCCTTGTCTCGGCCTTTCATACCCCTTCGTCTTTACCTTCTTCTTCTTCTTCTTTTCTCCCCCTTCTTCCCGGAAGCCTGCCTTCTTGCCCAGCGCCAGCATAAAGTCGCTCAATTACGCTTGTAGAGACGTCAATTCCATAATGTCTCTCAGCCGGTCCTCACAACAGGCCCTGCGGCTGGCCCGCCTTCACGCCCGTCATCCCAAACAACATCACATCCAGTCCCGCGCCATCGCGAACCTCACGCCCCCTCACCAAGCAGCCGCCATATCTCGCCTCCAAACCAATGTCGACCCCTCGTCGGAGGAGTACAAGGAAAATGAGAAGCACATGTCTGAAGTCACTGCCAGAATGGCCGAGCTCACGCGCAAGATCCAGCGCGGGGGTCCTGAAAAGGCCCGCGAAAAGCACATTGCTCGCAAGAAGATGCTTCCGAGGGACCGCATCACGTCGCTGATTGACCCGGGGACGACGTTTTTGGAATTGTCCCCCATGGCCGGCTACGAGCTGTACCCCGAGGCCGACGTTCCAGCCGGCGGCATCATCACCGGCGTCGGCGTCGTCGAGGGCGTCACCTGCGTCATTGTCGCAAACGACAGCACAGTCAAGGGCGGCACTTACTACCCCATTACCGTCAAAAAGCATCTCCGTGCGCAGGCTGTTGCGCAGGAGAATAAGTTGCCGTAAGCATGGCCCCCAGTCTGCTCTCTCCATCTTGTCGAAAGTACCCGAAGCTAAGTGTGTGAATAGCTGCATCTACCTGGTCGACTCTGGCGGTGCCAACCTCCCGCACCAGTCCGACGTCTTCCCCGACCGCGAGCACTTTGGCCGCATCTTCTACAACCAGGCACGCATGTCGTCGCAAGGGATCCCTCAAATCGCCGTCGTCATGGGCCCTTGCACCGCGGGAGGAGCCTACGTCCCCGCCATGTCGGACGAGTCCATCATTGTCGGCGAACAGGGCCACATCTTCCTTGCCGGCCCTCCCCTCGTCAAAGCCGCCACCGGCGAGGTCGTGAGCGCCGAAGAACTCGGCGGCGGCAAGATGCATTCCTCCGTGTCCGGCGTGACCGACTACCTGGCCGTCGACGACGCCCACGCCATCACCCTCGCTCGACGATCCATCAGCAACCTCAACTGGCCTGCCAGATCCGCCGCCACGCAGCCTCCTGCCACTGCCTTCTCAGAGCCCCTCTACGACCCAGAAGAGCTCATGGGCATCGGAACCACCAATCTCCGCAAGCCCATCCCCATCCGTGAAGTCATTGCCCGCGTCGTGGACGGCTCCGAATTCTCCGAGTTTAAGCGGGACTTTGGCACCACCCTCGTCACCGGCTTCGCCTCCATCTACGGCCACAAAGTTGGCATCGTCGCCAACGACGGCATCCTCTTCGCCTCGTCCGCCGTCAAGGGCGCACACTTCATCGAGCTCTGCGCCCAGCGCGGCATCCCCCTCGTCTTCCTGCAAAACATCTCGGGCTTCATGGTCGGCACGGCCTCTGAGCGAGACGGCATCGCCAAGCACGGCGCCAAGCTCGTCACGGCCGTTGCCTGCGCCGACGTGCCCAAGTTCACCGTTGTCGTTGGCGGCTCCTACGGCGCCGGCAACTACGGCATGTGCGGACGCGCCTATGGTCCCCGTTTCCTCTGGATGTGGCCCAACGCCCGCGTCGGCGTCATGGGGAGCGAGCAGCTCGCTGCCGTCATGGAGAGTGTTGGCCAGAAAGCCGACCCCGAGCTCAGGGCTCGCATCGATCGTGAGACTGAGGCCACATTCTCCTCTGCAAGACTTTGGGTAAGTGGGCCGATAAACAGTCCCCCTTTTTCAAACTCCCAACCCCTTTTTCATTCCTTTTCCAGTGGCTAATATATTCAACCAACAACAGGACGATGGCATTATTCCCCCCCAACACACTCGACGCTACCTCGGCCTAGGCCTGCAGGCTGCCATGGGTGGGCGGAACGAGGTCAAGGCTGGAGATACCAGATTCGGCGTCTTCAGAATGTAAACAGGGGAAACAACTATAAAAAGCTAGAATATGAATTTGATGACGCCTCAGAACCTTGTCAGTGGGCAGTGGTCTTCATGTATTAGAGCATATTGTATATATTTTGCCATAGATGTTCTGTACAATTGAAATAATTGTCGAATCACAAAGTAGGCTACAACAATTAGAAACCACTATCGAATTTCACTTCTACCAATGCCGGGACGCGACACGATATTACATCATTAACCCATTTATTCCTTGATATTCCTCCTCAATGTCGGTGGTATAAGCATTTCTTCATCTATCAAAACGCCATCGCTGAACTCCATTTTATATTGTACAATCCGGAGAATGGAATCAATCAAAGAGAATTGAAGAGTCTCGACGAGTTTTGTGCGAGACCTCTCCTCTCCTTCTGTGATTTCTGATCAAATCCGGGCCGGTCGTTGAGATATGGCGGCATCGGCATCACGCTAAACATTTCTGCGCCCAACTGGTCCGTTCCCAATGTTGACAGATAGTGAGACCAGGTTGATGCTATTTCCACCCCCAAGATCAACGTTGGACGCCTCCTGCTCCGTGACTTGACTCCCTATCTGTGTTTGACCCCTCATGGCCTTGCTAAATAGTCGTTGCAGTGCAGCTTGGGAAGACACTGCCCTGTCCACGGTCTGCTGTTGTAATATGTAGAGCATTGCAACCCGCGAGAAATCAAGCACTTCCTCTGTGACTGGGAAATTTGAAGGAGCTCTGCTAGTGGTGGTAGCAGTTGACCTGGAAATAGGCAGGGGGCTCGATAAGAACATGGATGTCAAGGTCGACTTGGCCGGGGTAGTTGGTGGTATTGTTGTTTGAGATTTTTCTGGGGGAGCTGAACTCGCCACTGATGTTGTAGGCTTCTGGCCAGTAACAGGAGGAGTCACAGTAGTCGTTGTCGTCGTGGTTGGTGGCACGAGAGTAATAATTGATATCACCGGGAACTCTTCAACATTCAGGACAAGGTTCGCCTGGTTTTGAGTGTTGTCTTGCACCTCATCTGTAGCTTGACCGGATCTTGTGGAACGACCGTCAAACGTGACAAGAGAATTTTGAGCAATGCATGACAAGTTTCCAGAGTTAAACCTAGCCAGAATTGAGGTGCCCGACAGTGGCACAGAAAAATTCTTGTTGGCATCAGCTAGTAGCCGTGGAATGGCTCTGCCCATTGTCACGTTTGTAATACTTGACTGTCCGTCAGTGGAAACAAGATTTGTCATCGTACACCCGGTGTTACCACCATCGCCACAGGTGGAACCTGTAAAGCCATTGGTACAGATACACGAACAATTGCCTTGGGAAATTACGCTGGTACCACCATTCAGGCAGGTTAGTCTCTCCTGGCATTGACCGATAGTGAGGTCCTTGTCTCTTTGGCCAAGGTTCTTGAAAACAAAAAATTCGAGCGGGACGACTATGGCTGCCACAATGAGGATAAGAAGTAAGAAGACCAAAAGGATGACTAGCCACAAGGGTAGACCACAGCATCGTCGTTTAGGCTTTGGTTCAATTTGACCACTCGGGGAACGTGAATGAGTACGTCGATCTTGTCCAGAGATTGCTGGCCATGTGCTGCTTCTTATCCACGAGCTGCGGCTGGTATTGTTTCGAGGTGTATGAACAGGTGGCGGAAAGGCCGCCAGCATGTCTGACAATCCAGATCGGTGGAGGTCATCTAATACCAAAGTTAGAATCAGATAATCATCCCGCTCGTACAGAATGAACAGATGAGTACGAGGACAAGGGGCTCATTTCTCAGTAGTATAGCTACCTTTTTCAGTGAGATAACCTTCCATAGTATCAAGCCTGCTTGCCGGCCGTTTGCCCTTGTCAATCATAGCTGCAAGTCTGGTTGCGCGCCGAATCAAATCTGGCAAGCTTGTAAGACTCCCCCTAGCCTCTGCCGCTCGAACTGCGTCGATATCAAGCCTGGGCGGACGCTTCATAGCCGACAGGCGAGATTGCTGTCGAGGGACATCTCCAAGTTGCACAGACTCTCTAGGGCCCGATGAACTTGCACTACCATAAGGCTGCAGGATAGCATCCGTGGCTAGACTTTCCCTACTCGAAGTATTGATAAACGATGCTCGGGGTTTTTTAATGGTAGAAACAGATTCGGATGAACTTGTTGCCGGACTCGTATAGCCGTCATTCTCGAGTACTGTCTTCGCTGGTGCTGGATCTTTTCCGGTATTTGTCCCAGAACTGCTAGCCCTTTTTGTGGTAATCAATGCCGGCTTACCCTTCTTACCCAAGCTTGCACTCCGAACCAATTGGCTCTCATCTCCGAACTCATCATACCCAGATTCTCTGTCCTTTTCTGTTATCGATTCTTCGTAGAATGCGTCGCCATAGGCAGGGCTGCCTATCTCAGGTGATCCAGCGGGCCATGTTTCAGGCATAGCCGCGCTTGACGCATACGACCCATGAGATCTTGACCGCGGGCTTTCTTCGGGTATGGGAGAAACGTATGATGCACTCGAATAAAAAGACGATGCCCCTCTTCGGCTCGAAGGTGGAGGTCCCAAGTTTGCACTCTTCCTGGGCGGTGCTGAAGAACTCGCGGGAATCGGTACCGGAAAGTCAGGTATCGATCCCACAGACGATATTGTTTGCCGGTTAGAGCTTTCTGAGGGGGTCGATGGGGAGGAAACATTATAATTGTCGTTCTTTTCTTGTGACGTGTCTGGTAAGACCGATCGAGAGGTGAAGACAGGAGTAGGTTGTTGTGGTTTTGCCTGGTCAAGCATGGAGGGAATTCTGCTCGGGCTGGGTCTCGGAGGTCTCTGAGGTATCTGTTGTGATTTCGAAGAGGAAGACCGATATGAACTTGGGTCGACAGAAGTCGACGGCGAGGTACTGGAATTGGTGAGCGGCCACTGTGGCACCTGGGTCGGTCTTGATATTCCCGGGCCATACTTTGGGTCCTGGCCAGGGGGCATTCTATTCTTCGCGAACCTAGACTGAGAATACCCTGGCGGCGGTGGTCGCAGTGGTGTTGAGGATTCAATCGGGTTTGGGTTCTGTTGCGCCCATCGCGGTCCCTCCCCATCCCTCGCTAGCATACCTTGCACTTGTTCCCGGGCCCTTCTAACAGACCCTGGTGTATTGTATGGCCGGTCCATATCCCTTCCATTGTAGGGTTGACTCATTTGACTATTTTCAGCAGCCGCGAACCATTCGTCGCAGGATCAGTCTGAACGTTCCGGGCGATTTATTTGCAGTGGTTTTCCCAAACAAGTCAAAGACTGGTGATAAATGAGTAGATATCTCGTCTCTGTACGGTCAAATTTGCGCAAGATATCCCAAATATTACGCTATGTTGCTGTCGGGCTTTGAATCGGGGATTGGTTGGTAAATACGTAAGTCGTTGTCTTGCATCAAAATCGGGACGACTCTGTCCTGTAAGTGAAGAAACGTGAAAGAAAGTTGCTGTAATTCACATATGTCGCATGTCATGTCAAAACGAGTGGTAGATGTAACTGAAGATAGATATGCGACCATTCAAGTTAACGAAAGCTTGGAAGAAAAGGAGTGAAACGAGTGCTGGGTGTCCAATTAGGAACACTTCTCAGCTCTCTAACTGAAATATAAAAGAGACAGAGAGCGTCCCAATAGTCAAGTAAACAACCTATCAAACTGGAATTAGCGGTTTCGTTTGAACACTTGAATGAAAGACCTCGCGGGCATTGAGACCAGGTTGCTGTCCAACGAGTGCCATTTGTGACGCTCTTGCATCAAGTCATTGATCAGGCCCAGCTGCCTCACAAGGCGATGTTCAGGGTGAATGGGGCCATAGGTTACATACGAGAGACGCCGATAGCTTCAGATTCCACCACCTAGTGGCAAGATAACAGCTCCTGAGACAGCATGCCCCAAATCGGAACTGATGCCAAGTAAAGACTCGCAGAGCCTCAGAAATAAGCGGGATGAGAGGCGACTAGACAGCCGCAAAATAAAAACCAAAGAAAAGGCTTTGGGGAGCCACGGAAGTCAACCAAGAAGAAAGAGAAGGCCCAGAGTTCTTCTGGTAGGAATTGGCTGACGCTAAAACCTTCGTCGCAATGCCCGGAGAGTTCTCGTGGAAGCTTGGCTCCGTGTCGCAAATCACGGCTGGGGGTCTTGTTTCAGATGTTGTGCCGAGCAAGAGAATAACGAGCTAGTCAGAACAAGAGTGAGTTTGCAAGTCAAAGCCCCAGCAGCATGAATGGATACAGCAGTGGAAAAAGTAGGGGAACTGAAGTGAAAGTCAATGGAAAGTGAGCCCTGGAATCTGTGTGTGCTTCGGCAGTGTGTCTACTGGCTGCCATGAAGGCCACAGCAATCTTGATGCTGCATGTAGCAATCTCTGGGACATTGCCGGCACAGTAGCAAACAATTCTTACCTGGTAAACTGATAAAGGTGGCGCTGAATGCCCGAACCGTGTCTGTGGGACAGCGTTTGCCCGTCCTGGACTCACAAAAGTGTACAAATGACTGGAGACGAAGAGAAAGAAAAGTGAATGAATGAAAGCAGCTATCCACAGGATGCTGGAGGGGGGAGAAGTGCAACTGAGGCAGTTGCGACGAAGCTGACCTGCAAAAGGGGAAGTCGCGACACAAAATGCGCAAGAAGAAAACGAGTGGCTCGGAGGGGGAATAAAAGACGCCAAAAGAAAACATGTTGGCCAAGCAGACACTATGAATAACGCCTCAGAATCACTCCGTATTGTACATCGTCCCATGTCTCGACGATAGATGCAACACACTGCTGGTCCCTGCAAGTGCAAGGTGAGCATGTTCTGTAAGCTAAGCCAGTGCCACCCCGACGGTCGCAAAAAAGAGCAGGGGGTCGAGGCTGGCGTGTTGACGTCGAACCAGGTGCGAGGTCTCTCCCCGGCCAAGGTGCTGCTGCATCACGTCAATCGTCTGCTTATGGAGATTCCAGGCCACTGAAATTTGCATCCACGCTACTTTGTACCGACATATGGCGCTCGGGGTCGTATGCGATGCCAGCTTCTGAAAGAACAAACATCGACTGGTCCTAGGCGTTTTTGTTCCGAGATTCACGGGTCTTGTTCCTGGATCCAACAGCGTGGTCGTCCAGGCACGGCCAACAGTCCAAGGCCTACTTACTCCCAAACGGCCCCCTTGGGCCTGTCTCCGCCTGGCGCGTGTTAAGTGTGTTATGTGGATCCGAGGCCGTCAATTGATATCACACAGGACTGTGGAAGCCACCCAGTCCCACCAAACCAGTCAACTTTACTCTGTGCTAGACTGCTAGTATACGGAGGACGGAGAACGGATGTACGGCGCTTCGCGCTGCTGGCTTGGCACAGGCCAAAAGTGCTCGAGCCCGCACGGAGGTCCAACTTAGATTAGGACAATCTCTATAAACAACCGCGACCTGGACACGGGCAGTCGCAATTCTGGCCGTCCCGAATGTTTTCTTGGGGTGATGGCAGTACGCTGGAACAGAGTCAATGTTGTCTAGTCTCTGTTACTCGCGCAGTGGTCAATATGAATGCCAGCCGTTTGAGCCATTTGGCAATGTCTTGAGGCCACGTTTGCACCAGCTCGAAGACCCTCGAAGACATAACCAAGTCACGCTCGTGGAAGCCAAATCAGGCATTGAGGCCTCATCCCTGTTACTGGCCCAGGGTGGCAACGTTCTCGTGGTTAACTGGAAACACTAGCGCCGTGTTCCTGCATGGAGATGCATCCACACATGAAGCAAGATATCGTGGTCTAGTGACAACTTCTGACTAGTGTTGATGGAGCGCGCCGCCATCATACATACATACAGTACTATTATCTCTCTGGCAGCTTCATCTTAACCAGCAGTTCTGCCGCAGCCTTCGAGAAGGAGAGATAAATGTTCGGTCAATTTGTCATGGTCAATTTGACACGATGTGGCTCATGATCGGCCCAACTCGCATCGAAATAGGCGCAGAATGCATTGTTGCGAGTGATGCACCCGCACCTTGGCACACAGACGGGTTCGTGTCCAATATTCGGTCAGGTGAAAGCCGTGGCCACTGGGACAATAACAATGATGAGCACCCGCACTTCGCCGCGGACTTGATCGGGAGACTGTCAACACCCCCGGCCTCACCACACCATAGTTTTTACCAATACTCAAGGAAACTATGTTCCTGTGTTAAGTGATATTGAGTGGCATGAGCAACCAGGGCGTAACTCTTTCAACCCAGCTCAGCAACCAACTTTCTTGAAGAGGAAGACGGACAGCTGATCAGCAGGATCCACGCCTCCAGCATCGGCAAGAGCGTAACTGGCAAATACGACGACTTAAAATAGTGACAACAAGGGGTGCGCCAACGAGAACTTTTCCTGTTGTTCAGACTAGGTCTTTTGTGCGTCTTTTATTTAATGCCCGCTGTCATTTTCATCTATTGACATGAGTTGGCTGGAAGGGCTTCATCATACTGGGGCGCCTAGCCCATGCTCAGAGTGCCTTTAATTTTACATCCTGCTAAAAATCCTTAATAATTCGGGACTACCAGAAAAAGCGAAGGTCGAATAGCGACTCGTGCATACTACTGCAACATCATTACCCACTGCTACCGCTCTATTTCATCGTTGGAGGGACTGCTTCTATGACAGATCTTGTGCCGAAGGATCTACAATGGATATTGTTGTAGTACAACATCTATACCAGGAACAGAAGGTATCCGGGTAAAAATGGTACCAGCATATCACGCAGTATATGGTTTGACACTAGAATATGCAATCAGAGGCAGCAATAAGCATTTGTCCACCAGGTGACGAAGAGTGACCTAAAGGTGGGCAAACTCATTGTCTCCCAATGTTCCCGTGTACAGCCAAATATCTTCTGTCACAGACCGCAGGTTCAAACAAATACGCCAGTCCGACCAACAAGTCTGTTGTGAGCAAGTGAGCAAGACAGGGGAACACCGCGCACAAGGGGGCTTCTCTGACAAGAGACAGATCAAAAAGCTGGCCGACACAAATAGTAGTAACGCCAACAATTCGGCCGGCGTGGGGTGTCAATGGTGGTACCGGTCAACTTCAACGGTTTATTATAACTGATATAACTCATGAGATGAACGGGACTGGCTGTGGAGCCCTCATGGCTAAATACATGAAGGCATATGCAAGCCTCGTCTCGTGGCTACGGAAGATTATCTGCTGGGAGATTACATATCTCTTGCATTGAGGGCAATTCAACGTAAATGATGGTAATGTATCCATGGTACGTGGCTGACAAGCGTGTACGTAAGGTGTGCAACTTCAATTTGAATGTGAATGTACGGTGACTCTTCACGAAGACGATGAAACACACATCGAACGATTCGGTCCTCGGCCCGCCCTTTTGTGCTCAACACTCACGAGGTCTCCATCCAGGAATAACATAACCAAAGCCATCGGGCTTCACAATATCAAATTTATCCTCTCCCTGCCAAGCATCCAAGAACCAATCGACATTTTTCTGCTTAAACCACTTGCAGTTATCATCAAATGTTTTCCAATAGCGAGTGTACTGAGCAACCCCTACGTCCCTCTTTCCGGGATTGTGGTCAGGATTGTGGTCAGTCTTGCCACAAGCCCAAGGACTCTCCGTAATCATAGTAGGCAGCTTGACATGATCCAGAACCCACTGCGTAGCCTGTTGAATGTATGCCCAGGCCTGGCTCTCAGGATTATTACCATGATAGAAGGACATGGCATGGATGTGGTCGTAGTCCGAGTTACTTTTAATGCCGCGGCCCAGACCAGTCAAACCATCGCCGTTGCGCAGGGAACCAGGCCGGTCCCAGTCCTCGCTGATGCCCGCCTTGATGTGGTGCTGATTAATTCGCTTGCGGAATGCCCCGAGGTCGTTGACGAAGTTGCCAGAGTCTGTGGACGACGTATGGTGCTATGGCCGCAAATTCAGGTTTGCCGAGGGTGTCGTAAATGGCCTGTTGAGATTGCCTCCAAACATCCTTATTGTTTATTAGCCTACGGAGTCCCAGTCCACGTGGATAATTCATGGAGAAAAGTTATGAACGATCATTCAAGACGCACACCGTTACCAAAGTTTGTCCAGACCTGCAGGATGAGAGCCATGTTATTCTTGGCCGCGGCCCGAATCGCGTTCTCAAACACCGTCGACTGGGTGCATGTAGGATAGTACATGCGTACGATGCTCGCTCCAAAGTCCTTCTTCATCTTGGCGAATTCCTGATACATACGGTTGAAGCTGTTGGTGTAGCTATTGCAGTTGCCATCCTCAAGAGGGTAGCTAGATCCCTGGAAGCCGTATGCCATGGACTGGGAGCACCACCAATCCTCCCTCCAATTTGACATTGGGAGCTGTCAAATCTCCAGGCAATTTGGCGCCGCCATAGGGAAAGCAGTTTGGTGTTGTAGCTGCGGCCACAATAGCCGGAAGACCAGCGAGAGCCAAAGTTGTGAGATGCATTGTAGGAACACCCGAGAGCTTATGCCAGTTTTTTGTTTTGTAGCGACGGGAACGAGCCGAACTTATCAAGGAAGAGATGATGGGCACATGTATCTTTAAATACTGAGCCTCTGCTGCTTCCGCTCGCCGTCCGAGGAACTAGATGCCATCCCCAATAGGGCCCTGAACTATGTCAACTCTAGGGCTGAATGCCCTCATGCCCCCATCTAGTCAGTCCTAGTCAGCCCAAGTAGGCGTGACACAGCTGTATCTCCTGCCATCCTCGGGGCCTTAGCACGGAAGCTCACTCCCGTTCTATGACGCAGCTTCTCTCAAATCGCTTTCCGTATGGAGGACTCATATTTCGCCGCGGCCCGTACGCCTAGCTCTCACGCAGAGACTGCGGGATGCGACGTTGTTTTCTAGACCGGGCCTACGGAGGTGCCAATTCGTGGCCTAGCGTGTTAAAGCGGGCTTAAAGCTTGATTATCCTGCTGACATTTGTACAGGAACGCACCAATTATTGCGGCAAAACTCATCCCTAGAAATGACAAGATTCATCGCCGAAGTTTCAATCTTGGGGCAATGGGTTGTTCTTCCCCACGATTGCGGCGGCTAGATGATGGAGGGACTGGCATCAGATTGCCGTGAATGGCTGCAGCAATGTGGAGTTCCGTCTTCGAAAGCAAAACCGCCCGATCTGATCCGTGGAATGAGACATTGTTTCATCATTTCGTTTCTCGCTTACCCGACGACGTCTCCACCGTTGAATAATTCCTGCCTGCAGGCATTGACCACAACGCCGCGCCTGAAAGACATAGCTTTACCCTTGACTCTTTGTGCCTAGTCAGCCGACAAGTGGCCTGAGGCTACCCAAGAGAAATGTCAAGTTGTGTTTGACTCGAGTTTCGGAAGGAGCGATGAAACCACCATATTTTGATATTCACAACGACTAGGTATCTTCATTTTAAACTCCAAGTCTATATTCAAGTTGCGGCCACTCATTAGAAAATCGCCTTTTCAACAGTCACATCCCTTCAAGCTATATGGCGGTATCAATGCCTTCAAGCCGAGCTATACACGCAAGTTACCCAGGTCCCAGAAGATCCCGATGCCTACCGTCGTGCTAATTCAGGCATGGAATCAGAACCACTGCCTTTACCTTGCTACAGATGCTGACGCAGTGACCGCGCCTAAGGCATCTCGTCCATCTTCAGTTAGAAGCGGTAGCAATTTCTGAACAATCGTGCAATGCCGGTTTCTTGATGCAAACGCACAAGCTGCCTGCAGCTCTGCAATCAGCTTGCCCGACGCTGTCGAAAACGGCTTTGCAAGTATTGGACTGGTCAGAATCTTGGCCACAATCCCTTCTTGTCCAGCAGCAGCAGCAGCAGCAGCAGCAGCAGCAAACTGAAGTCGCTTCAGATTGCAAGAGCCCTCACATGGGGAGACATCGGCGCCAGCTTCCAACAAACAGTGAACAGCATAGTCCAACCCGAAGGTGGAAGCGACGTGCATTGGGATTCGGCCAAAGAAGTCCTTTGCATCGAGCTCTGTTTTTGATGGACGCCCAATCAGTCCATCAACGCCATAAGTATGTCTATTATAAAGAGCAATATGGAGGAGGTTCTTCCAAATATGTCCTTGGCCGTGGTGCATGAGAGATAATTAATAGCAGCTTCTCGGACGTAAGTTGTTTCCAGAAATGGAAGGCAGTCGTATGAAACACGTGGTAGACGGCTGCGCTCGACAACGCCAATCTTGAATGCTTTCCCCAAGTGCTGATACAAGCCATAGTATCGGTTGAGTTCTGTCTTCCAAACGTCTTCCTGGTTCCCAACGCCTAGACCGTTGAGGTATGATTCCTAGATAGAGATGGCGTATCCAAGGTCTCCAGATTGCTGTAGCTCTTGTACTAGAGCAGCTACATCCTCTTGCGAATCAAAACAATCCACTCAATTTTGTCTGGGTCGGCCGTCATGCGACTGAACAGAACAAGACGTCAATACTGACGCCAGCCCATACCTGACTATTGGATTATGTTGTGTGGAGTCCCCATGGCCTGCCTCGCTGTAGATCGTACAGCTTTCGCTCCCTCAATACCTCAATACCAGTGTCTTAATTTTGCTGATACTGCCCAGGCGCACGGCGTATACCGCTTCCGATACCCGAACGCTGTCGCAGACTCGTCCGATGTGCGTGATCCAGGAGCTGTGGGCGGACCTGAAAAGGAAAGACAAGGCCAGTAAGACTAGCTGCTTCTACTCGGAATATATCTTCGTACGGTTTTTGTACTGGAAAGAGAGAATTCAACGACTGACAGTGCTCGAAGTCTATCCCAGCCTTTTGGGGGATCTAGATACTTCTCCACCAAAGATTGCTCACATTTCTCACAGTTTTTCGTCAATATAGATCCGCCCAGCGATGCAATAAAATTGTCTGCGATAGCCCGAACATTTTAGGAGCACTCACGACCTCAATGTATGCACCGGTCACATCTTTGGCCTGGCCATTCTCTGTTATTGGGTTCGAACTTTACCATGAGGCAAGTTAGTCAACGCCAAAGTCCTCGGCCGGAAACGAGCGGGCGCAAACCAAGACCAGCAGTACCTTTTTTTATTCTTGCGACAAAAGGTTCATTTTACATACCTCAAGCACCCCCTCTTGTTCGGAAGCGACGACTTTAGAGAACTATCCCCTTCCATACGTTAGGATCGGTCAATGAATGGTGTAGGAATGTTGGCCATGGACAATACCCAAAGCTGTAGGGTGGTGCGCTCCTTTATACGACGTAGTGAACCACGGATCAAAATGAGCAGCAACAGCCTTGTCTAATTATTACGTTTTTCTTCTTCTTTGCTGAGCTATGCAGTTACTTGCTTGAAAGAAAGACCAAGGTGCGTCACAACGCTGCTGAGACTACGGAACAATAGCTAAGCCTCGGGACTTACATGAGCATTGGACAACCTTGTCAAAGGCCCGAGGAAGCATGATATATTGGTCCGATTGTCAGCTCGCCACATAAAATGCCGAGACAGGACATAATTTATTACAGATCACGTCGGCTTAGTCGCAGAGTTGCAGTCGCCGATTTGCTGAGGAAACGCGCCACAGCCAGTGTGCTTTTCAGCCCTTCCACCTTTAGCCGATGGTTCGTGGATTCGCAGGTTGTGTCGTTGCCAACGTTGGTCCCCACTGCCTTTTGCACTCTTTTGTCTTCCGTTCCTTTTTTCTTCGCTTCCAACTCTTTTTTTAGTCGAGCAATAGAGACTCTGGAGTTTGTTCGCATCGCACTCTACCGGCCGAGGCGTTGATGACACTCAGACAACCCAAGTCTACTATCTACTTGGTGTCAATGCACTGGCATCTTACACGCGGCTCCTCGCCGCCTCGTGCCGGTTCGCCTCACCTTCAGGAAGAGCCAGGCTGGTTCTGAGTCTGTGTCATTTTGCTGCCCCCCCCCCCCCTCTCCCCGCACCACCTCGAGTTTGTCAGACGTGGCATCGCCGCGAAGCAGGATCTGGACAAGATCTGCGAGAACATGATGGACAACTGTCTGGCTTCAAACTCGGAAACGGGCGGCGTCGGCTGCGACAACATGACCATGTCCATTATCGGTTTCCTCAATGGTAGGACCAAGGAGCAATGGTACGAGGAGATCGCCAAGCGTGTCGCAAACGGAGACGGCCCTTGCGCCCCTCCGGAATATGGTACGAACCCCCCCCCAAAAAAAAAAAAAAAAAACTTTTGAACTGTTGTCTGTCTTCCCATCCTCCTGATTTTCTTGCTCTTAAGAAACCGCGAAGTTGTTTGGGGCTGCTCGCAGTAATCACTTGAGGACCGATCTGTCACAGTGAAAGCGGATGCTCATCAGTATATATGTTTTTCAATACGGATCTATCTTGTTTCCTACTATGCGGCTTTGTGTTGTCGCAGCTGGTCGCAGCCTGGTCTTCCAACCAACCATGTACATTTGACAGTCTCTGTCGCCTCTGACAACAAAGTACTTTTCTCATCACCACGGCCAAATGGAGGTAACCGTCTAATAATGAACCCCCTTTTCAGTATTCCTAAACCGATGAGGCGCGGCTGACATGGTAAATTTTTCCTGTTGGAGGTCGATCGCGCTCTATCGCGACCCCCTTTCCCGGTCATTGGCGTGCGTAGTGAAGCGTGGCCGGTTCCGACGTCACCAACGCCAACGCCGACGTACCGAGAAGTAGCTTTTTTTCTTTTGCCTCCCCCTTGCCGCCAGTGTGACTGAGCATGTTAGCCTATTTTCGTATGCCTTGTCGCTTTCTCTGCTCAGTGCGGTCTTTATAACGCGTTATAAGATGCTTGCCATCCCCTCTGCACCGCAAATCACGCCAAAACAGTCTCTCTTCTTTGCTTCAAAAATACACCCCAATCTATTGATACTGTATTACATCTCTTTTTCTTTTATTCTACGTGATAGCGTTATTCTAAACAGGACGTACTAAGCCTACAGCTTTTGTTTCCAGGTATACATGAATCTATCTCCAGCCGACAAATGTGGCAAGTTGACTAACAACTTTGGCTGTGACAGCTTCATGCACCAATATACATACCTCTTTACGCTTAACAATCAACCTAGTATAGCGTTATTATACGAATCTATGGCTGAGAAGCCCTCACTTTCTGTCGAGGTTGTGGTGGCTATTGCCATGGGCGTCCCGGCACTTCTCATCGCCTTGTTGACTCTCTGGATTGGATACCTAACATTGAGGCAATCCGGCGATCCGCGACGCCAGAGACAAGACCGAAACACCTTCTCCATGCTGCCTTTGATGTCATATGGCATGGCAGGGCTGGCTCCTCCTCCCATGATGCCAGTCCGTCCAAGAGCTGCTCAGCTGCTTAACTGAAAAATATTGTTCCAAGGAGAGTCCACTTGTCCGGGGTGAGGCAACATGTCGTAGAGCATTTCCATGATTACCAATTTTCTCATGCATTAGACGCGACGTGTCCAAAGTCAGTTCCAACTCTGAGGTACGGCACGGCATCAACTTTGATACCGTCATGAATTTCAGACAAAACCTAGAAGGAGCATAGGGTGAAGCGGCAAGAAAGGCAAGGCCAGGCAATATTAGTCTGGCATACATGTCCGGGTACTATAGGGGATTTGGCCGGGCCGGTACTGCCAATTGACCACAAAGCCGGCTACTACTCCTTAGCATCTTACTCGAAACCCTGCTACACTAGAATGTTGACACGCCGGTCCATGTTTCTCGGTGTCAAAGGTTGTCCATTCTCTACCGAACTCATTCATTCGCCCCAGGTTATATCAGCCCTCGAATGCAGGGCATCTCCAAAAGTAGGTATAGTCTCATTGCTTGCCAATGTTTTCCTGGTGCTTGAATCTCTTTCACTCATGACTCTCAATACTGGCACGTGCACAAGCTTGTGCCTCTCTGTGTAAAGCCCCAGAAATGGATAGCGCAAGGCATTTCTAGATACCAGCAAGCTATAGATTAATACGAGCCAATGCATGTTCACGGCACTCTTTTCTTCCAAACAAGGCAATGGTAACAAGCCAAGTTGGCCGTGGCATAAGAAACAGTCAGCTACCTGATGAATCGCCAATCTTGGGCCACATTTCCATCCGCATTCCAGAGACTCCTTTTGTTCGCCAACACGGGTCGTGGCGCCTATGACACGACTGGCGTGAAGCCGCCCATTGAGTTTTCCAGTGCGGCTCTTCATCCTAGCTCTGACGTGAAAGCTCACGTCGCCAGCTGAAGCCCAATGGTCAAGATGGCAAACTGCCCCAAGCTCTAATAAGTGGCCAGTCTATCAATGTGGCGCCGTCACCTGGAATGCGCTAGTCCACGAAGGGGACATGCACTCGGTTTTGTATATTGTAAGTGAGCGGACCGAGAATCCTGTCGCTCGGCTGTCGGGGGCGTTGGAAATAGCCAGTCTGAAGTCAGGCACATGCCGGTACTTTGCTTGCCATTCAACACTGTTGAAAGTCCTCCATGGGAAGTTTTGTGAGGGCGACTTCGTGTCGCGGTGTTTGACAGATGTTGGCGACCGAGGCCCTGGTTTACGACGGCAGCGTCTCGGGGTCCGCGTATATTTTGCGGACCAAGTTTCTGCTCCCGGTTCATTGTCAGTGTTTGGCTTGTTCGCGGGGCCAGTCAGATATTGCGGCCAGGTTTAGCCCCGTTTTGCGTCTGCCAGCTTCCCTTGTTGCCGGATTTGCCGTGGCGGCCGCCAGCCCTACCACTCACTTGTGCTTTTCATCTCGGCGGCCGAGCACCACACGGCAAGTAGCTCTCCAGCACAGAGGGGAGGCGGCTTGGTGCCCTAGAGGGAATCGTTTTGGAAAACGGGCAGGGCTCGGGTGAGCAGTCACGCGTCAATCAATGCCGGGCAGTTAGTTGGTGTTGCACACGCAGTCGCAGACAGCCAGCCCCAGCTTCTACATTATCAGCACAGGGGGTCATTTTGGCGTAGGGACAGCACCAGTATCAGCACGTCTGGTCTGGTAGTCCTGAGCTTTTCGAGCGTGTCGGTCGCGAGCTGACCAATCTGGCCTGTACGCCCAGGGCATTTCCGGTAAATATACAATGCCAGCGACTTGAAAATACGTTGCACCAGTACACATCTTTCTACTCCCAGCCTCTCCTCTGGGATGAGGTGAAACCACCAGACAGTCTTCACTTTCCCGTCTAGCAGATTTTTAGAATCGCCAATCCGCTAGTAGCTTCCGAGGCATCGTGATGCGTTTACGGTGCACGAAGCAGTGTGTTATTGGTTCTCTGGTTTAGCTACGACCAGGCACATGGTGTTGATTCCGCGTCATTGCGCCCTTGCCCAACGTAGTGCTTGGACGAACATTTGAATAGGACGAAAGAAGAAAAAAAGTAAACATCTTCTTTACCCCGTTGACGCTACGTTAAAAAACATACAAGTCCAAGCGGAATCAAGCAGCACAAGTTTCATATACCATGCTGTATTCTATTTCCGCCATTTCATCCCCAACTCGGTCCCATTTGTTGTTCATGGTGTACCCGCCATCAAAATCACCTTGCCCGCCTCATGACATGTATTCATGGATAAAAAAGCATAGCAGATCCCCCATCAGACGCGGGCTCCTCCACTTTTCGTCAACATCAACCACCACCCACCCTCTCGGCCCTTTCCCAGACACCCTCGCGCCATCTATGCCGACAGCGCAACGCCGACAATCTTGTCAACGCCATGCGACCGTCACGGCAGCAACGGAGGATGACCACCAGGGCTCGCAGTGGTTTTGCACGGCCTCGAAACGTCGTCTGATTAGGAATGCTCTGTCCGGCACAAGTGGCCAGGTGACGGGGCAACTCGTGCGGGCACGACACAAACGGGTAACAGGAAGCCGGTAGGACAGAACCCCAATGTATCTTGTACAAACTCTGTACGTATTGCCCGCTCCAGCTTGGAGTTGTCTTCCCGCGGACCGTGAATTCATACTCGCACAACCACGCACAAGCTTCCTAGCTGTCGACGAAAACCGTATGCACTAGACCGATTCGTCTTCAGCAACCCCCAACTCATCAACAAAACGAATCGAGACAGAGGAAGCGATAAGAAGCGAGTCACACAACAACCAAAAGCGGGGAGGGAGACATGGTTGATCTGTGGTACCTCGGGTGTGAGATGAGATGGCGATGGCACCGTTGGAGTCGCGCAATTGGACTTGACAGTAGACATACAACGAGGGTAGGAATCACAAGTCCGACATGGGCCCCGGCAATTTTCCAACGTAAGTTAGGGAATACAGACAAACTTTTTCACCCATGTCTAGGCCTTTTGCGAAACCGACGCATTTGAGCAAGGGCCTTGATCAGGACCACCTCCAGAAGCAGCCGTGGCAATGCCAGCCAATTCAACCCTCCCAACACAATCTCAAAGAATCCAACCACCCGGCTCGCAGGACTGATTTGTTCCTTCACCCATCGGTCATCTAAGCCTGATAAAACACCTCCTCCATTGGCTTCCACCAGCTCGGCACGCCCGCCTCGGAGCTCACGGCCCCAGGCACAATGCTCTCCTGGAAACTGTCCGTCATCTTCCACCACTCGCGCACTTTGGGGTTCTCCGCCATGCGCTCCATGTCGCCCGCGTAGTCGTAGCCAATGTACTTGTAAGTGCCGAACAAGAGCCCGGTAATGTCATCGTAAAAGATGCTGTCTGCGCGCGTGTCAGAATCCGCCCCAGCGCTCGCCCACATCAATTTTTAGCCACTTACAGTCTTCGATCCCACATTGCTTAATCTGCTTGGCCACCTCGGGCCAGACAGCCGCGTGGCAAGCCCTGTACTGGTCCACGCATTCCTTCTTCAGCTTCACGACCTGCGCGAACCTTCGGCCAGGATTCTTCGTTCGCGTAGCTGACATGGCCCCGAATGCGGACTCGTCCACAGAGGGCGATCGCGGGGTTTCAGTGGGAGACGGGGGTTTCCACATGGTGGCTTCTGAAGGGCGCTTGACAGGCTGGCAGGTTGGCAGGTTGACGGGGATGACAGCTTTGTGACGTAGCAGCCCCAGTAGTTTAGTGGCCTGCTTGCCTTGCTTGGATGAGACGCTCGCTACTCTGATCTCAAGAAGTTTGCAGGTAAAGTAGGGGACGGATGGGACCTCCGGATGAACAAGGCGAAGATGGAGTTGAGGGATCCAAAGTTTGGGGGGAAAAAACAACTTCGAGCTGTCGGGACAAATGCAAGACCTAAATAAACCAGGTCCCGACTCCCAAGGTCTAACGTCAAGATGGAAGGAACGCAGTCAGCCCGGCGCCACTTTCCCGTCGGGGGATTTTCAAATTCGGCCCCCAAGACCCAAGCATCCAGCCAGGTACTCAAGCACCAGACCAAGGTAATAACGTCTAAAGTGCAGTGCGGAGTGAGTAAATGCTGTGGGTTGCGGTTTGTGTGGGCATTTCTTCCTCCCGTCCCTCCCAGCTCCAGCTTTCGCTCCCAAGCTTCCGAGACACAACAAAGTAACTCCGCAACGTGTCTCCAGCCATGGGGGCACGAGTGCGCCACCCGCAGCAATAGCCATCACAGCACAAAGACGAATCACAAACGACCGACCGATCCAGGCAGGGCGAGGTGGTGGCCAGGATCCTGGTTCGTCGGACTGACCTTGCCATCACCTTGTTTCGCTCGGCGCTCAAGTACCTAGTATGTACGGTCCTTCCCCGCGCGCGGCAGGCAAGCTTAAACCTGAGATGGGTCAGCTTGTTTTTGATTCTCTCGAGTCCTGGCTGCTAGCTTGCCGTGGAGCTTACCGAAGCAACAAACACGCATGCACGGCTCCCGCTAAGCCTTCGCTAAGCTTCCAACTTTGATGACGGCTTTGGGAGCTCGGGGGGTGTCTGGGTGATATCATCATCCCGTCACCCGTGGCATAGTCTAATACAGCTTACCAAACACTCCGTCACCAACACTTCCTACCCTCGAGGTCCGCATTCCCCTACCTTACTTATTCGGCCTAGCTGTTAATCATGAGAAATAAGGTGCAGATGGAGATTGGGTTTGAGCAACTACAAACAAATCCGGCTGCGTGGCACTCGCACATCATGTCCACGCATACGCGTATCCCTCACCATTGTTCAAGATCCACCTTGGACCCGCGTCCACATGTGGCTGGGGTTTTACAACGATCCGAGCTAGGCATAAAACACACTCAAAGGCAATAGTGATGTGTCAGATTCACATTTGAAAGAACCCAGTACATGGAGACATCATGTACGTGAAGAAGGAGCGTCGTATTGTGGGTATATAATGTAGAAACCAGGATAACAAACATGCCGAAATGATGTAGTCGAGAAACTCCAATAAAATGTTCCACCTAAAGGAGCGTAACGCAACGTATGCCGT